TTCCAAAAAAATTATTTCCAAGTCCAACACTTATGTATAGATTTCAACAGCTCTTCTCACTATCCATTCGTTGACATAAGAGCCAACACAATAAGGAATCGAAAGTGATTTGTCATTAATTTTGAATCTTATAAATTATGAAAAAAATTTGTTCTTATTCTGGTTGTTCTGTTCTTGCCTTTTCCACTCTGAAACAGCCTGATCAAATATTTGGAACTGCCGGGTAAAAGTTTCAAATTTTGAAAGGCAAACAGGCTCGCCATCCAAACGAAACCGGCTGACCGCACCTTCGCTGACTGGATTAATGGGCTTCTCGAAGAAGCTGAGAGTATTTTATAATATTCGCGTATTTTTACGTGAAAAATGTTTCTAGTTTGATGTTATAACAATCCGAAAGAGTTGCAAAAAGCTATTAAAATGACAAACATGGTGATGTGTATGCTCGTCCTCCTTGTTGTCTCAAGTTCAATGACATTCATGACGTCATGATGATTAGCGAGTAGAAGAAGGAAATTGAACTTTTGGTCCATTCATGGATAAAAGTTGAAATATTGAAAATATTCTGAGGAAAACAGATCAAAAGCGTGAATTCAATTAGAGCCATCACAAGGCAAGTTTGTGTCGTTTCTAACATTTAGTTCGAAATAGAAAAATGAAAAAGTTTTGGCCAAAAGGGGATGCAATTCAAGAAGGACTTGAAATTCTTTGAATTTCAACAATTTTTTTTGGCTCAAAAATGGATGTTTGTTCTTTTTTTTGTCTTTCTTCGTCTTAATGCAAATGTCTCTAATCATATATAGAAAAGCTGGAATGAATCCAAATATGTTTGTATTTGAGCTTATTAAGGACATAAACGTCCAACCAACATATGCGACATGACAGTTTCGTTTAAGCAAATCACAAAATCATATTGTCTTTCAGAATTTCAGAAAATTAATTTAATTATAACGATTACACCGAGGCGTAACTTGATGAAACAACCGCTCTATGCGTTTACTCAAGAGAAAATGAGACCTCTCAAGTATATGTGATCACGTGAACGTCCGCTCCTTCATGCTAATTAAGGCAACAAAATAATGTTTTCATCTTCTACCCATGAAAACTCGAGTTCTCATAAACTTTTCTTTAATTATTTTTTTTTGATAAATTAATTTCAATTTCTGAACTTTCGTTCTGTGCTCAAGGTCTGTTTTCATTCTGAAAAGAAGATTGTGGAGTGTATAGGAAGCAATGAATACAAGGACGAGCTGCCTTCTGAATTAAGATGACCGGGTCCGGTCAGTCACCGGTTCACACGGCCTTTTTATTTGCTTTTTCACACACTTCTCTGACCGGAAACTCCGAAAATTGGAATCCATCTAGATCTCTACATCCGGAACGTGCCCCTCTACATATGTTTGATGGAATGCTGTTATCATTATAATCCTCTTCGCCAAGCCTCTCAATAAAATATTGAAATCCTGAAATGCCACAGTCATTTCCGGAAAAGCCGTTGACACTCTTGATTACCGTCTGCGGGGAGGAAAAAAAATTCAATGATTATTGAAGCTTCTAATGTGAAGTTCTCCTATTTTAATAGGCACTCGAAAAGGTTTAAAGACTATAAGAGTGTAAGAGAGCAGAGATATCCGCGGAAATGATACATTTCTGTGCTTGACAGCTCTTAACTGGACTTTCTGCAGATTTTCCACCAAAGAATAAATAGATTAAAGATCATTCTCTCTCATTACTTACAGTTCATCTGTGAGGCAGCAATGAAAGCAACATGTTCTTCATGATCGAACGCAATGATCTCAATAAATTGTTCATTTTTTTTAAAATTCGCGACATTTTTCGTAACTGTTGGCTTGTTTCTCAGGCGACGATCTGACACTCTGTGCTTTGCTCTTGCATTCTGAGCAGAAACAAGATAAACGATGGAAAAAAGAGCAGAGAATGAACAAACTCAAAATGGTGAATTTGAAACAGCTCCTATGAACCTTCAACTCTGAAATGTTACATGAAGTATGGGATTGATGATTAGGAAGATGATATTCTTGGAGTGAATAGACGATTAGAGACCATCAGTACTTCTACATCTTGTTTAGCCCTCTCAACTTCTTCTCTTCTCCTTTTTTGTACATTTTCTTTTTTTCTCTTTTCTGTTCGAATGCCTCGACGGGTACTTTCTTTATGAACTTCTGGACTAGTTTCAACGACTCAAGTTTTTGCTCCCAATAATGTTTCTTTCAAGCTTGTGGGCTTATTTTAAGTTCATTTCCATAGTGTTCGTTCAGCGTTTTTCAGCTTTTGCGTCATCCTTGAGAAGCAAAAAACTTTTTTCTTCCACAGTTCTGCTGCTGGAGCAAACCTCTGTCAGTTGAATTGTTGTCTAAACAAGGAGAAACGAGAAAAAGGAGAAGGTCTTACATAGAATTTCATAAAAACCCGTTCACAAACAGTATGTCGGGTGTGGAGAAGTATTAAAAAACGTTTCTAACATTAGAGTTTCGTCATAGATATATACGAACAATAGCATACAAAGCTCAAATAGCAACATTTTGATCTTTGGACAAGACAAGATGATAATTACCTTCAAACAAAAAAACACAAAAGAATTCTTTTTGAAATTTATTTTTGTTTTGAAGATGATTGGGAAAGCAGTGAAAAGCTGTTGCTCTACAGTTCAATAATCATGTGTGTTACAAAAGAAACACCTCATCTCCTTTCCGGTTAGATTATCTTGTCCTATGTTCATCAGAGTTGACCGCGGTAATTCGAATCCTTTATAGAAAATGAAAAGTTGACTCATCTCTCTTTCTTTCATGTAAACTTTCTGTATTCTTCCTTTCTTTCAGAAACAGAGAGAGAGGGAGAGATAGAGAGAGGAAGAAAGAGGGAATAGCGCCTATTCGAAGGTTTTTCGCGTCGCACTTAGCACACACGGCACGTTGACCGGTCGGTGATGGAGCAGAAGCGGTGTGGAGAGCATCAGGATGACAAACGACTGGACATGAGAAAGGTGAGAAAACTGCAAGAATATGATTGAATTTGAGAGAAACACGACTCTCTACGGAAAAATGTCGATAAGATTCCTAGCAGAGCAATGTGAAAGAAAGAGAGATGGTAGAGAGTGCCTGAGGCTAGAGACCAAGTAACAGTGTCAATCAGGACTGTGCTTTCGTTGGCTTTTCCGCACTGGCCCCACCTCCTTCATCTTTCTTGTGCCTCGTACCCTCCCACCTGTGATTCTAAAACCTTTATAAGCTGACTCCAGACAGTTTCCAATCACAGCAACCATGCTTTCCAAGCAACTCTTCCTCGGTTTCGCCTGTTTGGCAATTGCCTTCGCTACTCCTCTCAATGGTTGGTTTTCATACTATTCAACCCGTTCATATAGTTTGACACAAATTTCAAATTCAGAACATTCTTACCCATTTGTTTGATTCCGTTTACCTTCTCACTTTTCAATTTCAGATGAGGAATCACCCAAGAGCGAGAAACGTCGTCAGTACATCCAGCCTTTGGCCGGAGCTGCTCAAGTCCCTCGCAACATCCCCTTAGTTGCTGCCCCAGTTCTTGCTGCCCCAGGTTCGGTGATCTTCATTATCGTCCATTTCGCTTCTTCTTACCTTGTTTTTGACAAAAATCTCCATTTTACAAGGGAATTAATGTAGCTTTTATTATCAGTCTTATCTGAAAGGCTCCACAGTCTCCCTTATTTTTATTTCGCCCAAGTGGCTCCTTCATATATATTATCAGTAAATTCTATTCCAGTTGCTCCACTTCTCCGTCCTGCCGTTCCAGTTGCCGCTGCCCCCGGTATCCCACTCGCCGCAGCCCCCGTTCCAGGTAAGACTTTTTTTTCAAAATTCTCATGTTTCTCCATTGACCATCTGAAAAAGGCTAAAGTGTTTGTTTAGCCGTTCCAGTCATGCAACCAGCTGTTGTAGCTCCAGTTGGACAATGCCCAGGAGGACCATCTCTCCCAATCGAATGCGATCCAAAACGCCCATGGCCCCAATGCCCACCTCAATCATACTGCTATGCTACCAACTCCGTTGATATTGGACCTTATTTCTGCTGCCCAATCTGTAAGTTTTATGAGATGACACTGAATCGGTTTGGAGATGAGACGAGCAACCAAAAACTTTCCTTCGGAAATACCGGACACGAAATGCGAGAACAAGACACTTTCTGCCATCTTAAGTCTGTATCTCATCGTTTTCGTTCTTGTTTTCTATCTGATTTCTTCATTCATGAGCTCTTTTTGCTTTCCTTCATCTTCTTTGTCATCTTTCCGCGGTACAACAAACCGGATCGTATTGCATTGCTCCACATGAAAGGAGTATGACAGATATCAAGAGAAGGTGTGAATTTGAGAGATTTTGCATCTAATGAGAAACAGAGTTGAATGATGAAAATCGGAGCATTTCCTCTGTTTCTCATTCATTCTTCAAGTCGTCATAATAATTCTGACGGACCGGACGTTCAGGTTTTACTGATGAAAAGCTTCAAATCAAGAAACGCTCATGAACCTCCAGTATCGCTAACACTTGTTAAGCTGTCTCAATGTTTTCGCTATGCTAAATGTGCTCAACAAACAAGAAAATTGTCTACTCGAACTTTTGGAACCGTCGTAGACATTCATTTCTTATTTCATATTTTACAGGGTCAACTTATGGAGCTGCCTGGAGACCAGCCGCCCCATTCTACAACTATGTCCCACCAATGCCCGCTAACTGGCCTGATGTCGCTAGAGTTACCGCTAACTGGCCAGCTGCTGCTGTAGCTTTACCAGTTAAGGCTCGCAAGGTTCGTTAGAGATGATGGTGTTCTGAATATATATTACTAATCGCATTACAGCCAGCCTCCACTGATGACAAGGAAGAGGAAGACGACAAAATTGGATCATCTATCAACAAATGGATGGAGAGACAAGCTAAATTGGTATTTTTCACACCCCAGCTTCAACATAATTATGAAATATTTTAGTAAACGAGAAGCCGACTCGAAACGTCTGAAACACAGTCGCATATCTGTACAAATCCTTTACTTGAATATTATTTATCGTCGTTGATCAGTATTTGATAACGAGATTTCGTTCGAAAATAAAATTTTTACGAAACTATCCCTTTCTCACTATGACAGACAGACAGAATTAGCACAACATTAGCCCCCTGAAACCAAAAATCGCTCAAATCGTGATTTTTAAAAAATTTCAGCCGATTTATTATCTTTCTCTGTCAAGAGTTCTCTTCATCACATGAACATGAGTCAATCAACCTGTTGCCTTGTTCTTTTTCAATTTCTCTCCCACTGTTCTCTGTCAATCATTTCCTTGGCTTAAAGTTCTCTCGTACAACATTACCGTCAACTCATCTCATTTAGAATTCCACCTTCAAATGAGTGAAAGGAGCAACCGACTCTAACGTTTTCGTATATGTAAATGAATATGAAAATATTCAAATTTCCACGTGAATTTATGCACGTGTATAGCCTGATAGAAGAATTACAACAATAACAACAACAAAAGATTATTATTATTTTAATTTTTATTATTAAAAATAAAAAAAATAGAATAGAACTCAAAGTACTCGTCAATTATCTTTTCCTCATTCAAACTTTTTTCCTTTTCAGGAAAAAACAAAGGAAAAAGCACCATATAAAACATCTTACAATGAACAATCAAGTTGTAGGAGATCAGACAACTATTCTTTTAGAAAAAATTATTGTTTCTTTTCTATCAAAGTGACTAGTATAACCATGAAAAATGAAAGAAAAAATAAGTGAAATAGTGAGGTTTTCAATCTATTTATACACAAAGTGCTCTGGTAAATGCAACCTTATTAGTCTTTTCTCTATGCTTATGCTTCTGTCTCCAATGTATTATGACTAGGTGCAGCTGAGCTAGATCGACAAGATGGATGCTTGTCGAAGAAAGAGGATTTCGATGGTTGTAATAATATTGTTGATATTAATGTTACAAAAAATGATTCCAAGACTGTACAGAAATTTTTCCAAACTGAAATGAGCAATATGATATGTCATAACGATGAGCTAAAAGACTCACAAAACGAAGTTTCTATGGCAGGTAAGATAGATCCACACCCAAAAGCTCCATAACGGGCCAGGAAATCGAACACTGGTTGTTGTAAACCAAATAACATAAAAAAGAAATCTAACAATCGGAAGACGACGATATATCGATAGCTCAACAACTCATCCTACAAGAAGCTTATAAGTTAAGAAAAAACTGAAAATCTAACATACCAATCGAGACACTGTTGTTACGAGAATGTGTGTCCCATAAATTCCAGCTAAAATAGATGGCAAAGTGATGAAATCGAGAACTTTTAATGGACTGAAAACACATTCTAATTACTTCAAATAGAAAAAACGAATCTTACATAAGTCCCTTATCTTGATATTCAAAATAGATTATGAGAGAGACCAAGGTGGCGAAAAGCCGAACACAAGGAGCTTGCATGACCATCCATTCACAAATCCGAATTTTTCGACTACAAGAAAGAATATCACATTGAATAGAGGAAGAAGAAAAAAAGGAATAGTAATAGATAATAATCAAACAATAACTAACCTCTCTAATGTGACTTTGGGAAGACAAGGAAAGACACAACAGAACGGAGGTGTTGCAACCTCAATATGCTGAAGTCTCTCACTCATCTTCGAAACTAGTGAATGATGTCCTTCGAATATTTGCATCAACAAACAAATAATGACCCATAAAGCAACTGAGAAATAGCTGAAATGTTATCAAATGATCTATTCAATATGGAAAATCTTAGAAGAAACTTACAAAAAGCTAAGTAGATGAGATAAGAACCATACTCTTGGCATGTACATAGAAACTAATGATAACACAGACACAAACTAAATGTTAGACAGTCATTATGATATTTTTATGTTTGTAATGCTTACCGGAGCTGTACTAGCTAAGTAGACAATAAATAACTTTCGATCGGATTGTGTTACATACATGGAAATGTACAGAATATGCAGAATTCCCAATGAAACTGTCGTTAAACATACAGCTGTAGCTATTGTTAAACCAACCAAAAATGGCTGTGGAAGATCTTCAAATAAATTCAATTAGAATGAGAAGAACATAGCTTCTGAACATACTTTTTAGAAAATAATCTGAATGTGGTATATCTTCCGTGTTAGTACAATTAAGTAACGAATCGGTCAATAACTTGACCAGTGTTTCAAACAAAGTCATCTTTGGCTCATTCAACTGAAAAACATGAGAAATATAAATTTTAAACATGAAGATTTACAATGAGAGTATAATGTGAGTAGAAGAAAGTATTGTGAAGTAAACTTCAAATGAAATTACGTAAAGCTGCGTTTCACGTGAGTACAAGTTTCACGTGTAACTATGATTTCAAACGAGTGGGATGATCAAAGTCAGGGAAGTTCCCTCTTTTTCTATTTTTTTAAAGCCTATATTTAGAGAAAAAGGATGAAAATTTTGTGAAAGTTTATCAGTCGACAACTCAATGTCACAACGTTTAAACAGCTGAAGAGACTCCCTTCCGAAAAAGGGTTGACAAATAGAATTAAAGTGTTCGTTAAACTACTGAAAAAGACAAAGAATCTTCTTTTTTTATGAAAAAGGGAATTTTCAAAGAAAGAGATCTTCCAACTCAAATGTTCTCATGAATTATCGATGATTATCCCAAAAGCTGATGGCACAGAAACAGAAGATCTATCTTTTCACCTCAGATTATTCAATTTCGAGACAAAAAATATATGGTCTAAATGAAACAGATGATAAGATGAAGGAAAATACAAAAAAAAAAGAATCGATATAGAAGGAAATTGATGAAAAATAAGTTTTTAAGTTGTCGTTCAACTATGGTTGACATCTCACTCTCTCTCTCTCTCTCTCTCTGTTTCTCTCTCTCTCTTCATGTCCTTTTTACTCTGTATCTTTTCTTCTCCTTTTCCCTCTCTCTATCTTTTTTTTCAGACCAGGACCTGTAGGAAAAAAATGTTTTTTCTTTCACTTGTGGTCATAACAACAAAGATTTGAAAGAGGTAAGCAATTATACTTCGATTCAAAGGTTTTCATGTCTAAAAACCGGAAATGCTTTACCCTGTTAGTTGAGATGAATAGAAAGAGAGTAAAGCTTTCTTCTACTTCTGCATGTTTTCGAGTTTTAGTAAAGTTTTAACTAGAAGATCGAAGCGATAAACTTTTTCAAACAGAAATTAATATGAAAACCTCATGTTTCGTTGCAAATGAGAAATGATTGTAATGATAGCGAGAATGAACTTAGGACAAGATTGTGAATCATAAATGGAAAACAAAGACAAAGAAGGAAGAGTGAGGATGGTGGGAGAAGGAGAGATAGAGACAAAGAGTATCAAGTAAAGAGATGAGGCTAATATCATCTAAAGCTGCTTCATCTGCCCCTCAAGGCGTCTAGAAGAACATCAGGCTTTTCTCAGCCTACTACCCACCCCACATCTTTTGTATTTGTTAATGAACTTTCGTAATGGAAAATAAATTGAAGAAGAGAATAGGATAGATGTTTCAGATGTTTAACGGAACAATTTAAAAAAATAAGAAGGAATTTCAGTCTGTCTTCAAAAGGCTTAGATGTAGAAGATGGATAAGAAGGATGGAGACAATAGCCTTAATGTACTCCCAGTTATTCGTTCCTGTTCGTTTTCCATTTTTTGATTGAAGCTTCTCAAAGTATTTAAGTCACACCCACAATAACTATATCAAAGAATTATAAAATATGATTTAGTTTATTGAATAGCAATATGTTTTACAACAGCATCTTTCTAGCTTCAACTTTCTCATCTCACTATATAAAGGGTCTGGCACATGGCAAGAAGAGTGAGTTGTAACATGGATACTAAGAGAGAAATAAGAAACAATGAAAAGAAAGAGAGATGGATATTGCAATTGTCCGAAAAAAGAAAGTTTAGTAGAGAAAGCGAAGAGACCAATAAAGCATGGTTCATATAGAAGTGTATGTGTGTGACCATTGTCGTATGAAGCAAAAAGAAATCAAATTAAATATTTAAAGTACTTCTCTCGTTGAAGAATATTCAAAAAAGGCAGAAGAATGATAAGAATCCAATGAAGTTCAACCGGTCCATACATTTTTGTACGAGAAAATGAACAGAGGGAAAGCTTCAAAGAAAGCGTTTTGCTGATGTAAGATATCCTAACTTAGTTGACAAAAACGATGTGACGGAAAGTAATATGAGAAAATCAGTTGGCTTATGGAACATCTTACTTGTGAAACTTTTGAAAAGAGAACCACTTTCTTCAGATGACATAAAGGAAAAATTGGAGGATGGAGGATCGCCATCTACGGAAACAGGATCTAGTTCTACCCCAAGTTTCTCCTCCATCCTGCCGCTACTTGCTTGGTTGGCTGGCCTTTTCACCACCCGAAGACCCGTTACGTCAAGTATAAGATTGAGTCATAGCCTGAGGGCGTAAATATCGCTTCGTTACAAAGGAAAAAATAACAAAAAGCCAGAATAACAGACTGTAGAGCATAGAGGAAGAAAGGTGATGATCAATGAACCAACTTCAATCAATCTGGTCAGTACGGAAGAAGCTTCATGTAAATAACATGAAAAAGCATTGACTGTTCAAATAGATTTCGAACAACCTGCTTTGGTGACTAAGATACTCCCCTTGAAACAGTTCTTTTTTGACTGCACTTGTTAATTGAGGATTAAAAAACACTTTAAATCTATTGAAAAGCCTGTTGCACGATAACAAACAGAAGTCTTTGAAATGAAAAATTGACTTCATTCTACAAATTCAGAATAGAACTGAGGTCAAGATGAACGTGGAGAGTCACAACCGAAAAAACCAGATGGAACTTGCAATCTGATGGTCAGTTTAAATAAAAACATCCACTTTCCTAACTTGTACTCTTGTATGTTTTGCTTTGCACTCTCTCAACTGTCTTTTCTACTCCTTCCATCTCTCTTTCTCTTTCTGTGCTTCTCCTTTATTTCTTTCTCTATTTTATAACTTTGGTCTCCTTGTCAAACTATCTTCTCCATCCATGACCATATATGGCTTGCTGTTGAATGAATTATCATGCATGGAATACTATTGAATGGCCATCCGTCATCTGTCGGACAGAAATTGAGCAAGAGTATACATCTTCAGTTGCCTAACTTTGCTTTTTGATATTTTTAGACAAAGAAAGATGTTGTTGAACGATAATTATACAAACAATCCTATCATTCGTATGACTATATCATATGGTAAAAACAAAATCATAATTTCCTTTCTACTCGTACACACACATTCAATAGAATTTCAAAGTTGAAAAGTGAGGCTGAAGAGGAATAATTTGGATTTGAAACTAGATTCTATGGTTCGTGAAATTCTTGTACTTTTCACCATTCTCACTTGAGTGACTGGCCAAAGAGATAAAGACAGACAGAGAAGGAACGATTGACATAGAGAAATAGAAACGGAGGGAGATAGACAGATAGAGAGAGACGGAAGCTGAGCAGCAAACTGTTTTTTAGACATAAAAGCCATATATGTGTGTAAGCGATTACACAAATGTGCTAAATATATAATATAAATATAGATAAAACAATTGAAAAGAAGAATTCAACGAATTCGCTTCGCTCCGTTCTTCCTCACACAACTTCGGCTAAACTGGTTATGTAAATGGCGGCAGGATGGTTCGAGTTGCAAATTCATTTCAGAATAATTTCTTCTGAAGTTCAAAAGTATGAGGATTCAAATTGAAAAAAAAAGAATAAGAAGAAAGAGAGAAATGTTATTATCTGCTTCTGTAAGTCTTGTAGAAGGAAAGAAGGAATGCATTTTGAAGACGAAGAAGAGGAAAATGAAGAAGATAGGCAAGTAAAAGATAAAAGCATAGAATGGTCAGTTTGACAAACAAATATTTTAAAATAGAGGAATCACGGGTGATACGAAACGTTCGAACAGCGAAAAGAAGAGAGCTGGGACGAAAATGAAAAATGACCATACTAAGCTTCTCGTTCAGAAAGGTCTCATTTTAAGATCAAATAAAAGTAAGAGACAACAAAACAAAGTCTAAATACATACAAAAAAGGGCGGTAGATTGAGCTTTTGCTTCTCTATCGTGTTACTTTAGTATAAGAAAGAGATCACGATTCAAATAGAGAGAAGATGATAAGAATGAGAAAGAGGAGATTGTACTTGAACAGTTTTTTTAGAATACCAAATGAAACACTAAAATAGTAAAGAGGAGAAAAAGTGAATAGACACAGCAATAGAGAGGGAATAGGGTTGAAAAAGAGAAACAAAAGTAGATTATTGATTTCAAATCCATCTAGATAGAAATTAATTGGAAAAAAATAATAAACTATATTAATATAGTTAATAGATGAAAGTATACAAAATGATTAAAAAGAGAATGGAGAGGAGCAATTCAACTTGTTGACACTATATAAACCAATAAAAACTGGAACAGAAAAAGAGAGAAGATTTCAAAAATAAATGTTGAAAAACGATGGGATTTTCGAACAATGTTGATGAGCATCAACCATTCTTCAGCTGTGCACGAAATCAAAATGAAATTTTCATTTTTTTCTTCTTTTTATGCGTTATGTTCACGTACGAAAGTGTTTATCTCACGCAATTTATGCTAATGAAGGAAATAGAAAATCTTTTGAAGTTGAAAATATTCTTGAAAAATTTAAATGTTTAAGTGGATCTGTATAGTGAAGGTAGTTAGTGTTAATGAATCATTCAGCTCGTTTCTTAGCATCCAGCATATCTTTGAAAAAGGCTTTTGTTTTTTACTTATTCACATATGCAAATGATTATGTAAAGCATCTTTTTCTTCTTATTTAGTTTAAAAAAGCAAAATATCTTTTGCCATAAAAGGAGAAAACGAAGACGTCTAAAAGGGCAGATGGAAGTTTTAAGAAAAATCGTTACTAACAATCGATTGTCATTGACGGTAATTCAAAATATGAAGAATTCAAAGCAGGAGTTGCCTAACTAGTTGTGTGGTTAGGTTGCTAATAACGTTTGGGATAGTTGAAAAAAAAGGTTTTTTTCCGTTATTTTCGTATGGCAAGCGGCCCATGGGCCGATCAATGCTTGTCTGGCTGTGACGAGAGGGCCATACAAAGAGCTTTCCGATGAAGAAGAAAAAGAAGAAGAAGCAGAGCTTCTAAAGAATAAAGAAAGACATACTGAGAAGAAGTTCTTAGTGAAATTAA